AGCCGGCAATTCGCGAACACCGCGGCGCTCCGCAGATGGCTGGCGGCCCAGACCCCTCTGATCCCTGCCGGGCGGCAGTTCCGTGACCTCGGGGTGGTCGCCGCCGCGGGCCGGGTGCCTCGCTGCGCCGTTGCCGGCTCCAGGGCGCGCGCAGCTGGAGTGCGGTTTGCGCGGATCGGGCGGCTCCCCTTGGAGTTCCGACACCGATGCATGCTGGGCGCTGCTGCCGGCACTTCGGCGGGGTTGTACGGCGCCTCGTGCGGCCGCCCACCTGCGAAGGAGCTGGCCGGGCTGCGGGCGGCTGCGCGGCAGGCTGTGTGCCGAGGCGGATTCCGCGCTGCCGCAGAGGTGGTCTTTGGGGTCCTGAGCCCGACGTGGCGGCTGGACCCAGCGGCGGTCGTCGCCCTCGCGCCGTTGTGGCAGGCGTCGAAGGCGCTCCGCAGAGGGCGCTTTCCTTTGGCACTCTGGCGGGCCACGGACGGAGCCCGCGCGGCCGGGCACGGCCGCGGCGCCGGCCCTGTCGCCGCGGCCGCCTGGAGCTTGGCGCAGCTCCGCCTCGGCGACGACGTCGAGCGCTGGACCGGCTTCCCTGCTTGCCCAGACGGGTGGCGCCCGGCCGACCAGCCGCTCCAGGCCACGCGCGCTGTGCTCCTCGAGGCATGGGCGCGCAGGGAAGCGGCTGCCGTGGCAGGCAGAAGGGCTGACTTCGCGCATGTCGCGCGCGGGGTGGACCGCTGGGCAACCAGGCGGCTGCTGGAGACTGGGGCCCTCGCGCCGGACGCGGCAGGGGCCTTGCGCGCAGTGCTGTCTGGGAACGTCGTGACAGAATCGGTGGCGGCGAAGTGGGGCAAGCCGGCCAGATGCCCGCACTGCGGCGCCGCCTGCGAGGATCGCGAGCACCGCTTCTGGGTCTGCCCAGCCTGGGGCGCCGACAGGGCCGCCGCCCTGGCGACGGCGCGGATCTCGCAGGCCGCGCTGCGCGCGCGGCTGCCGCCGGGCGTGGCGAACACGGGCGTGCTGGCGACGGATGTCCGGCTCGCCGCCCTCGCCGAGGAGGCCACACGGGCTCTGCCGCTAGCCCCGCTCCCGGCGGCCCAGATGCCCGTGCCGCCCCAGTCGCGCAGGAGGGCTTGGACTGACGGGGCGTGCGAGCGGCCACAGGACCCGCTGATGGCCCGGGCGGCTTGGGGGCTGCGCCTGGAAGGACCCCGCGGCACGAGCGACCACAGCGGGCCGGTGGACGCGGCGCAGACCGCGCAGCGGGCTGAGCTGACCGCCGCGGTCCAAGCTGTCAGCCTTGCGGGGGCGCTCGTAGAGGTCATCACGGACTCCCGCTACGTCCGCAATGGCGTTGCCGCCCTGCGCGCCGGCGCGTGCTACCTCGACTGGACGCACTCCGACCTTTGGGGGCGAGTCGCGGAGCACAGCCGGAGCGGCTTCCTCACGGCGCGCTGGGTCAAGGGCCACACGACTGCCGAGGAAGCGCTCGCCCGGGGGCTGTCCGCTGAGGACAGGGCGGGCAATGCGGCCGCCGACCGCCTGGCGGGAGAAGCGGCCAGGGTCCGCCTCCCCCCGCCCGCGCTCTGCTTGGAACGCGACTTCCAGCTGACGGCGCTGGCCGCGGCGCAGCGCGTGCTCGCCGCGGTCGAGCTGGCGGCCTTGCGAGCCAACCACGAGAGCCGCGGGCCCGAGGGCCCGCGCGTGCGCCGCCGCTGGACGGCCGCGCGAGGGCCCCGCGCCGCCAGGAGGGCTCAGCCGCCGCCCGCGGCGCAGGCGGCGCCGGCTCCCCCTCCGCCGCCGCGCCGGCGGACCCGGGCAGCGATTGAGGCCGGCGGGGTCGTCGCGCCTCCTGCGCCGGCCGAGGCAGCGCGCGCCCTCTTCGCAGGCGCCGCATGGAGGGTGCACGCAGCTGCGCAGGGCCCGGGCTGGGTGGCGTGCCTGCGTTGCGGCGCTTCGGCGGCGCGGTGGGCGCAGCTGTCGGCGAGGCCCTGCCCGGGGTGGGCGCTGGCGCTGCCCCCGCGGGCGGCGATGCTGCTGCTGACGCCGGCGGTGCGTGCCGGCGGTGGCTCGGAGGCTTGGCGGGCCGCCTTGGAGGCGCGGCTGCGGGCTCGGCCGGGGCCGCCAGACTAGTTAATTCGTAATTCGGTGCACCTCCTCCCCCCTCCTCCTCCTCCTCCTCCTCCTCCTCTCTCTTCAGCCGCGGGGCGCCCTGTTCGCATCGTAAAAAAAAGCGCACGCACGCACGCACGCACGCACTCACTCTCTCTCTCTCTCTCTCTCTCTCTCTCTCGCACACACGCACACGCACACGCGCACACACACACACACGCACACACACACAACACACACGCACGCACACGCACACGCACTCGCACACGCACGCGCACACGCAAAAGGTGTTGACAACGTTTTCACATTCCGAAACCATGGTCGAGGGCCCAGAGATGAGCTGGACTCCCGCTATAAAACACACGCGCACACACACGCACGCACGCACGCGCACGCGCACGCGCACGCGCACGCGCACGCACACGCACACGCACACGCACACGCACACGCACACGCACACGCACACGCACACGCACACGCACACGCACACGCACACGCACACGCACACGCACACGCACACGCACACGCACACGCACTCGCACTCGCACGCGCACACGCACACGCACACGCTCTCCCACACACACACACACACACACACATCCTCGCAGCAAGGCCTGTCAGGCGCGGTCGTCGTTGGAGACGCGACGTCCCTCGCGTCTCCACCACCCCCTGCTTCCCAACGCGTTACAGGTAGGGTATGAAACAGGGGGACGTCGCCTCCTCCCCCGCTGTTCAGCTGGCTAAAGGAGGTTGGAATGAGAAAACAACGTCGTCGCCGTCGCCGCTCCGTCACCGTCTCGTCGCCGCCCGTCGTCTGGTCGTGTGGGCCTGACAGTCGATCTGGCGGCTGTGTTGTCGCAGTCGTCGCCGCCGCCTGTCGCCGTCTCGCCGCCGCCCGTCGCCGTCTCCCCGCCGCCCGTCGCCGTCTCGTCGCCGCCCGTCGTCTGGGCTTGACCGTTGGTCTGGCGGCCACGTTGTCGCCGTCGCCGCCCCGTCGCCGTCTCGTCACCGCCCGTCGTCGGGGCCCGCCCGTCGGTCTGACGGCTATGGGGTCCCCGTCGCCGCCCGTCAGATTGCATCACATACATCACGTAGGGCCTCCACTAACGAGAACTATGCAAACATGCTCTCTGCCCCCCTTGCAAGGTCAGACTTCGCAGCGCCCTCTGGGACACTGCAATGTACATGTGATTCTGCACCATCGTTCATATGAGTTAATACCATCCCAGCCAGGCAGGTATCGACACCACCGTTCATCCCTATGCGCGCACATTCGTTTATAAAGAATCACGCCTGTTCGATAATCCCTTGCAGACAATGGGGCGAAGTCGACATGCGCGCGCGTCGTCGCACGTGCCTGCCGAAATCAGTCACACACAATTTCAATGTCGAGGTTTACGAGCACATAAACATATGAGGCGTTTCAAATTTGCTCCCGGGGATCGAAGGAGTCGTCATCTCTTCCGCCGCGGAAAGTGGCGGAAGGGCGGCGGAAGGTCGGCGGACGTAAAACGAGGCCACCTTCGCCGTCCACTCTCTTCCCGGGAACAGTCCAGCTGACCGTCCACTCTCCCCGGAAACAGTCGCCGTTTGGCGCCACACGTTTGCAGAACCAGAGGCCAGGGCGTGTGGAGCCGTCCGACAGCGTCCGAGCCGACGCGTAAGACTTACGAGCCTGCGCTTGGCGGCTACACAAGTCCACCCCTGCGTGGATGTGCCGCCCGTGGAGTTGGCTGAAGATAGCATCAGCGGGCTGGCGGCGAGAGGCCCATACAGTCAGCGCGTCCAGTAAGGACGCGCGCCTTCATCTGGGCTATCCTTGTGTCCTTTTCTGTTGTCACTGGTCGCCCGCCGCCCAAACAAGTTCCATTTTCGGTCTTCCAGGGTCTTGCGTCTTCACTACCCTTCCTTCCTGTACGTTTCGATTGTAGTTGACTTACCGAGTGGAAGCCATTGGGGCTTGAGCTAAGAATGCCCCAGAGGAAGGAGGGAGGAGAGGAGAGAGGAACGGCACGGTGGGGCGAGGAGGGAGGACACTTCCCCCTCCTCCTCTTCCTCCTCCTCCTCCTCCTCTTCCTGCTCCTCCTCCTCCTCCCCCTCCCCCTCCCCCTGCCCCGGAGGGGCACCCCCATAAGCGGAGTGTCGGGCCAAAGTGCCCCCCTGGTGCAGGCGGGGAGCACCGGGCCTTCGGGGTCCAAGCCCCCGCGCCCGGGCGTTCCTTCCCGGGGGGCTGCCAAGTCCCGTGGCCTCTTTCAGGGCGGTGCGGGAGCTCACTCCCCGCACTCGCCGCCTTGGGGCGGGACTGGCGGTCCTTCTCCCCGTCGTGTCGTGTCGTTGTCGTTGTCGTCGTCGTCGTTTCGTGGGTCCCGGGGTCCGGGTCCTTTGTTTGCCCTGCCCCTTGGGCGTGCGGGTGGCCCTGCCGTTCGGCCTACCCCTTCGCGGGGGCGGTCCCGTTCGGTTGGGGCCTCCCGCCTTCCCGTGGGGGGCCTTTTCCCCGTCGCGCGCGGGCGGTCTCGCCCGTCGCCCGCGTGGGCGGGGCGCCGCGGCCGCGCCGTCGGCCGTGCGCGACACGGTGTGGGCTTCCGCGCGCTGTAGAGAAAAAAATCCTCCTCCTCCTCCTGCTCCTCCTCCTCCTCCTCCTCCTCCTCTCCTCCTCCTCCTCCTCCTCCTCCTCCTCCTCCTCCTCCTCCTCCTCCCCCTCCTCCTCCTCCTCCTCTGGCGGTGACGGCCGCGACGACGACGCTGGCGCCGACGCCGGCCCCGAGGACGATCCCGACGACGGCGCCGACAGCAGCGGCGTTGGCGACGCCGACGACGCCGACGACGACGTCGACGACGACGACGACGACGACGACGACGACGACGACGAACGACGAACGACGACGGCGAAGGCGAGGAGCGGCCTCGCGGTGCTCTCGTGGTCGCTGGGCGACGCGCCGCGCGACGCGCACTCCCAGAAATACGCGCCCGAGGTGGGCAAGGCCAGTCTAGGCCTCCCTGATGGGGTCGGAGCAGATGGGGTCGGAGGATCGTTCGGCATCGTCGATGCATCGTCGATGCGGCTCGATGCGGAACCCGATTTTCTCCACGCCGACGGCGCCGATGCCTCGCCTACGTCGACGATGCATCGTCGGTGCATCGCCGATGCATCGGCGACGCGGCGCGATCCTCGGATCCCATCTATTCGGACCCCATCCAGGAGGCCTCTAGCCAGGGAGCAGGGGGGGTGAGCGAGGTTCAAGAAGCGAGGATCGGCACGACGGAGGGACCCTGATATCCAGGCGTGCATTTATTTTCTTTACACCTCCTGGCCCTGGGGGCAGCACAGCTCGGTCGGGGACGAAGCATGCAGCAGAAAGATGGGGTCCAGGGCTCTGTTCGAGTTTTGTTTACGATATTGTATTTTTCGCAACGTCGGATGTCTGATCTCAGGGGAGGCCCTGGAGTTTTGCTCGCCGCTTTTTGGCTGTTGTTTATCCGTACCTCTGGTTCCTGGCTGCGGCTATCTGGTTGGGTTTGGGAATGCGACTTCTCCCGAGGGGTCGGTTTCGGGCGCCTGTGGCCTATCCCAGCACACCAATTTGGTGGAGAGCCCCCGGGACCAGTACCCGCTTCCGACGTTGCCTGACCCCGCCATGTCACGAGGGCTTCCGTGTTCGAGGATCGTGGATCCAGGGTCGAGGCTCGAGGCGGATCGAAGCTCGAGGCGGATCGAGGCTCGAGAATCCGGGTTCTTCTGAGGTCGCGGCTAGAGCTTCAGGTCGCCTCCGTCTAGGAAACCGAGCATCCTGGGAGCAGGTGGGTTCTGCAGAGTTGCGGATTTGTAGACCTGCACTTGGGGGAGGCCGCCGCACGGTCGGGGACCACGAGGAGGAGGAGGGAGGAGGAGGAGGAGGAGGAGGAGGATTCGAAGTGCGGATCGTCATTGCGTTTGCTGTTTTGGTTGAGCCCCCAGACAGTGATTGCACGTTTGGCCTCTTGCGTGAGCTCTACGGAACTGGTCCTGGGTGCTGGGTCGGCTTGTGGGTGCTTGGTCCCTTGTGGCATCATATGTTCCCCCATGTCGTCTTATGGTCTCCCATGGTCTCCCGTGGCCCTGGGTGCCGCACACGCCCGTGGGTTCTTGACGTCCTATGGCCACCTATAGTCGCCGATGGCCTCATCTTGCTGTGGGTGCCGCATTCGCCTGGGGGTGATTGGCCTTGCATGGCCGCATATGCTCTCCCACGGCCTCTTGTGGCCCTGGGTCCCGCTTTGGCCCGTGGATTGGGCCTTCTGGCCTCATGGGGCCTCTGGTACCAAACTCGCCTGTGGGCATTGGGCCTCCACTGGCCTCTCGCAGCTAACGACGGCCTCCTATGCTACGGTTGCCGCACTTGCTCGTGGATGCTTGGCATATGAAGTTATCTGACGGTCCCTTCTTATGGCCACCTATGACCTCGTGCGGCCTTGGCCGACACACTCGCCCATGCGGGGTGGGCTTCCCATGGCTATGGCCTCTCGTGGCCTCCTGTGGTCTCCAATGGCCTTGGCTGTCGCCCTTGCCTCAACTGTCGCACTTGCCCGTGGTGGGTGCCTGGCCTTCCTTGGCCTCCGCTTGTCCCCCAAAGGCCTTCATTGCCGCACTCGCCGCGGGTGCCACATGCGTCCTCCCTTGGCCTCCTGTGGGCCTGGGTGCCACAGTTGCCCCCTGGATGCCTCTTGCCTGGCGTCGCTCGGACGTGTGCGTTTTTTCCCCGGCGAGGACCGTCGAGGAGCGTCCTTGACCATCTGGTGAAAAAAACACGGACGAAACCGAACAAAAAACAACAGGGAATGGACGTCCGAGCGATGGCGAGCTCGTGGCCATGGCTGCTGCACCCCCCCCCCCACGCGTGCCTCCTGCGGCCTCCCATGATCTTTATCTCCTGTGCCTTGTCTGTGGCCTCCTGTGGCTCGGAGTGCCGAGTTCGCCCTCGGATGCCCAGCCTACTCAATAAGCTCCGACGGCCTCCTATTACAGTGGGATGCTGTAACGCCTCCTCCTCCTCCTCCTCCTCCTCCTCCTCCTCCTCCTCCCCGCCCCGTGCCCCCGCTCCGTGCGTCCCTCCTCTGTCCACCGCGAAGCGCGCGCCCCCTGGAAAGACGGGCACCCGATGGGCCTGCCACCCCACGCTTGCAGGGGATGCACCGCGGATCGAAGGCACCTACAGTCGGGGCCCTGAAGAAGGAACCCTTTTCGTTGGGGAGGGGCTCCGCGTTCCTTAAGTGTTTCGCAGCTCGCCTCAGGCTTTCCTCATGTTTTCGATCGGAAGTCGAAGTTCAACGTATGGACAAGAGGGGCCTCGTTCCTTATTTTGGGGTTCCTTCGGTCAAGCCCCCGACTGTATGGCCGTGTGCACCGCATTCGCCCGCGGGCGGTCAGCCCCACACGGCATCTCGAGGCCTCCTGTGACGCCGCGTGCCGCACTCGCTCCCGCGTGCCTCGCCTCCGACAGCCCCCCCTGTGGCCTCGCACGGCGCTTTGGGGGGCTGCGCACACCGTGGGCGACCGACTTCCTGTGGCCTAGCCTAGCCTCCTACAGGAGGAGGAGGAGGAGGAGGAGGAGGAGGAGGAGGAGGAGGCGGAGGAGGAGGAGGAGGAGGAGGAGGAGGCTGAGTGCCTAGCCTCCTCCTGTGGCCTCGCACGGCGCTTTGGGGGGCTGCGCACGCCGCGGGCGACCCACTTCCCGTGGCCTCCCGTGGCCTCCGTGGCCCCGGGCGTCTCGCATGCACCAGTGGGCGCGTGGCCCCCCTTATCAGGGCTCGCTCCGATTCCTCCGATTCGATCCGATTCGATTTCGATGGTTTCCGATTCCGATTCGATTCGGCTTTGGATTCCGATTTGGGCTCCGGTTTCTCAACGGAGGCCTACTGGCCTGCCGATTTCCGCCGATTCGACTTTTCCCAACTCGGCTGCCGATTTCCGCCGATCCGATTCTTTTCGATCGCCGATCCGACTTATCGATCCGATTCTGGGCTCCCCTGCCCCATGGCCACCAACGGCTCGTTTCCCCTTCCTGCACGCTGCCTCGTGTGTGCAGACGGGGGCGGCGGCAGTTCGGCGGGAGGGGGATGGCGGCGGGGGGGGGGGAGGAGGGAGAGCGGGGGAGGAGGGGCTTCGACACTGCGGCAGAGCTGTGAGCACACCCTTGTCTTAAGTCGGGCCTGCCCCCCTACTGGGGGATTCTCGACGAAACACGAAAAATGCCGCAAAAAAATGCCCCCCAAAAGGTTAGAAAATGCTAAAAAATAGTCCCCAGACTATTTTTGGATTACTTTTGGGGTATTTCTTTGGTTTTCCGTCGACAATCCCCCTTGTAGGGGGACAGGCCCGACTTGACCCTTGCGGCCTCTTTCAGTGGCGGTGCACAGCTCCGGCTGCGGCTGTGGCGTGTGGTTGATGTTCTGGCCGCGCTGCCCAGCTTCCGCACCGTGGTCCTCCAGCCTGGTCGTGGGGCTTGCTGCTCGTTCCTGGCCGAAAAGTCGGACTGCAAGCCTCCTCGTGGCGGCCAGGGGTGACTTGATGCTGGCAGGATCTGTCGACGGCCGTCTTTCCCCAGAGGCGGCGGAGGGCATCAAGGCCAAGGAGGTAGAGGGGGCCTCCAGCAGACGCAAGTGTGCCGTGACGGCGGTCCGTGGCAGCCGACCCAGGGAGTGTAGGCCTAGTGCCCTGACTTTATAGTCCTCGCCGCATCGGGGGGTGCGGTCACGACTCCTACTGGGAAGGCTGTCATTGGGTGCATCCTGATCGGCACACCTCGCGGACTTGAGCTCTGCGAGCAACGGACGGCATGTGAGGGGTGTCTGGCCTCCCTGGCAGTGCTCCCGAGTACTGCCACGCACAAAGTCGCCCTGCGGCGGATGGCTAAGCCACCCGCCGGGAGTGGTCATTTTGACCTCTGCAGCTCCTGTTCCGCTTGCTGCTCGTTGTTCTTCACGGTCGTCAACTGGCCAGGGTCTTGCTCTTCCCCCGCGGTGGTGCGGCAGACCGTGGGTTGGTGGTCGGGTTGGCGGCTGCTTGCCTCCGGGTGAGGAGTCGTGAAATCGCAAGTCTGCAGCATCGATGTTGGGAGTGTGCTCGGGGGTATTTGTGCAGAGGTACTGGGAGGTGGTGCACCGTCTACGTGCCCATGGTGGCAGTGGCTTTGTTGTATGCGTTCAAATGTCTGCGGCTTTGGGGTACGATGCAGCACCTGGGTTCGTTAGTCGCTGGCTTCCGCTTGGTCCTGGGTGCCGTCATTATTTCGTCGTGTGCATGTGTTATGGAGGAGTGGAAATTGGGATTCGGCCATTGGCCTGTCTTTCCACTGTGCATCGAAGGCTTTCAACATCTCCAATGTACACACGTTGTTCTGTGAAGTGTGGATGCACGTTTTGTTTTCAGCTTTCACAGATGTCTTCTTCGAGTGTAGAATGTGTGGTCTGTTTCTACACTGATGTGTAGAAGCGTCTGTCCCCCAGTCTGTGGAGTCCGGTTGGATCCAGAGGCTGAGGCGACCCGAGCCTTGGAGGCCGCGCAGTGGGGGGGGCGATACCGAGGGCTGGAGAAAAGAGGCCCTTCAGGGCCCCCTTCTGGCTCCACAGGGGGCATTGGAGGCCCGAAAGGAGCACCCTTCGCCGCTCCCCCCATTTGTCGCCCCTCCCCCCTTGATTCGTGCCCAAGGCTTGCGGACGCAAGCGGCGTCCACCGCTCGGGGCGTGGCCAGGCAGTGTGGCCGAGCACGCCTCCAGAGCTCCTCCTCCTCCTCCGCCCCCTCCTCCTCCTCCTCCTCCTCCTCCTCCTCCTCCTCCCCCTCCTCCTCCCCCTCCTCCTCCCCCTCCTCCTCCACCTCCTCCTCCTCCTCCTCCTTCTCCTCCTCCTCCTCCTCCGCCCCCATCCCTTGGCCCCGCCTCTGCTGTCCGCTCCGGGCCTCGTCCCGCCCGGCCCCCGCCCTCCGGGTCCGCGACGCTGCGGGCTCCG